TTTAGTGTACCTATCATGATTTTATAGTAATGTTGGGACACACTGAGTCTAGCTCACTTTTCGAAAATGTTTTCCCCTTTCATATACTGTTGGTTAGATACACTTGATCGAGCACTTGGAGGATCAACATATCTCTTGAAGTATATAGTATTGTAATGTTTTATCTTTTAAGTTGACTCTATTTTGGTAACATATGCCTTATTTTAAAAGTATTGGATATTATAATAATTACTATTTTACTATTTATATTGGTTTATCGTAATTTAGATTTTTAATACATGTCTAAATTAATTTGTTATTATTATCATATTTATGAGTTGAGTTTTTATAATATAATTTATTATAATTTCATAAATGTCATTTATAAATATGATTTTACATTGATTGAATAACGGTTTCGAAAAAATATCTTTAAGAATTATGAATGTGATCCACTAGACTTAGTCGAAACGTATATGTCAGGTCTAGGGGTTACACATTATGTAACGAAAGTGATTCAAATACATTGAAGGTGGTAAGGTGTCAGGAAAAAAAAATGAAAAATAGATTTATTTTAGGATAAAATATATATAAAATTATTATTTAATGTTATATTTGATGTTTTAGTCATAGTTTAGAAGTAAAATTAAATATTATTCTTTTTGTTTAATCATTTTTAATGTTGCTAAGTCATCAAATTAAGTATTAATCATTTTATTATAAATTGATAATTTTAGCGATCAATTTGTACTTTTAAAACTTCAGTAAAGAAAATGAAAACTTATTCAAACATTATTAATCATCGATGTAGTTTATCTTTAAATAAAATATTAATTTTAAATTCAAATTTAATATTTTTAATGTTTATTTTTTCAACCTTACTTTTTATTTATCTATTTAGAGAACCTTAAGGTCGTATGGTTTTAGAAAAATATAGGCTATTTTCTTTTTCTTTTTCTTTGAAAATAGAAAATATTGAAAAAAATATGTTTTTGTTGTAAAATTGAAAAAATTAAAATTAAAAATAAAAATAAGTGAAAATATGAAAACATAAAAATTATGTTTTTAGTATTTTCATTAAAATTCTTTTGAAAATTTGAAAATTAAAAAAAACATGAGATCTATATTTTCAACTTTAACTTGCACGGGTTTAAATTATTTTAACATTAATTTTTTGATTTAATGGTATATAAAACCCTTAAACTTTTTGCAAAAAAATCAATATGGTCCTCGAACTTTTTTTACACTAAATATAGTCCTTAAGTTTATTTTTTAATTATTTAATTTTATACTATTTTTATATTTAATGCATTTAATATCTTAATAATTTTTTTTTATTTTTAAAATAAGTAAATCCTCAAACCTTCTAAAAATCAATTAAGCCATCAAACTTAGTGAAAAAAATTAATTAAGTCTATCTATCACATCATCATATATCATGTACTGCCGCAACAATATCATAACAATATCGTAAACTATCATATCAATATTATGATTGTGTGCTCTTACTTATAATAATATTTTTGTGTAATTTTAAAATTTAATTGATGTCCAATATAAAATAACATTATATTCTTATTATAAATTAAAACAAATTTTGTGTTATGAAATTTCTTATCAACTTTATTGTTTTATATTTGCATAACTCACATGTTGAATTAATGTATGAAATTTTTAAATAATTATATTTTAATAACTATTTATTCATTTATATTTTTAAAAGTTAGATACTAAATATATTTTTATTATTTTATTATTGGATTCGAGTTTTCGTTTATATTAACCAAACATATTTTATAATTTTTAAAAAATTAAAAATAAAACTATTTTTTAAAAATAAAAAATATTTTGTATCTTTATCCTATATAATTAACTAAAATTTAATGATATGCGGGTAGATCCATTGATTAATTTAAGATTTCTATATGATCTTAAAAATTTATCGTATCAGACAATAAAGTATTATAGATTCGTTGGTACCTATTCGACTTGGGCTTTGCACCACTTTGTTCAAATTCAATTGATTGATCCAACAGATATAATTGTTTAATAATTTTAATACAAATTTTTTAACTTTAATGATTTATCATATAAAATAATTTTTGCGACACCGACCTTATAGGTTCAGAAAAAATAAAATATCAATTACAATACCGGGGATGAAACCCACACTTAGAAGATCTTAAATATATTACTTCAACAATTCGTCCACTTCAAAACCCCTTTGTTAAATTGCACCTTAAACTATTTAACTTTTTGAAATATATAAAATTATTTTGCCACAAATACGCTTATAATAAAAATCTGATATATTTTTTTTTCAATTTCAGTTATTTTATAACATTAATAAAATTAAATAATTTTATTATTGGTATAAATATTTTATAAATAATATATTTATATTCAATATTGTTTGAATTATTGACACATAAAGAGCTTTGGAAGCATGATGAAAAAAAATACTTGTTAAAATGAGAGATGGTCGTTGTAAACCCAATAAGGTAACTTATTGTTCTCTTCTTCATGTTTATGCCATTTATGCCAATGTAAAGCAAGTAGACCAGATGCATGCCCTTGGGGACGGGGATGGAATCAAGATTGAATTATAAGGAGGATAAGTTGTGTAACTTTGAAACACATAAGGTCTAAAAAGTAATTAAACTATAAAAATAAAGAGATTAAAGGTTTAATTTTATAAAATTTTAAATTTAAAGGTCTTAAAAAGTAATTAAAGTAGACAATTTTGAGGTCAAAGTTTGATTTTATTAATTTTAAAACTGTCAGTATCTTAAAAAACAATTATAACAAAACATTATGAAGTCAAGAACCTAATTGTAATAATTTCAAAACCATCAGCGACTAACAAAGTAATTGTACCATCAAAGTTGAGGGTCATTGCCTCTCCCACCGATAACATAATTTCGTATTGAACCTCATGTTAATAACATAAAAGAAATTGAATTGAATCGGAGATTAACTTACAAAACTCGTCGTTAATTAAATAGAGAGATAATAAGACGGTAGGTAATGGGCTCAAAGTTTGACCTCGTAAAAGAATGTTTGACCATGAGAAAAGATACGTGAGGAAGGAGATATCGTGTCACACCAGCTTTTTGAAATGTCAGTGACTATATTAAAAGAGGATTAAATGTTTAGAGATTAAAATGAATATTCTCCAAAAAATTAATGACTATTTTTGGAGTTTACCATTATCTTTTTTAAAATTAGCAAAGACTCGATCAGAGAAGAGAGACTTCCGGCGTAATTAACGCTCGTACATAAATAAAAGAAAAAGGTCAGTGTGTTTTCATTTTATTTTGTCACCTCGGTCGATGTGTTTTCAGAAATCGCATTGCCATTAAAATGGTCACGGTAACACAAGATAACAACTCCTCTAACATATGTCGGCAAGTGAATACTGACGGTACACGTGTCTCGTCGAAGAGGGACCAACGTGTATGCGTATCTTTCTCATATGGGTCGAAAGTCACGGTTTTCAGTAAGGAAAAGCAGGTATACGTATAAATTCGAAAGTCAAGTGGGCCAATCGGGATGGGTGCATTTATTCTTTTTTGTGGGAACAGTAAGATTGATATATATATATATAATCAGTTTGATAGCATGATGACACGTGTTATATCCGCCTCATTTTCTGTCAAATCAATAGCCGTGTCAGATATTGGCCTCCATCCAAATGGTAGAATCTAACAATAGTAACATACATCAAGATCATACCAAAATAATAATTAAAGCATAATATAATTTATATTTTTTTTAACTGAGAAAATAGTTTCAAATTTATTACAATTGTTTTCTTTATATTTGAAAAGATAATTGATTCCTTAAAATTGAGAAAATTTCGCTTCCCTCTCACTAGCTAAAAATTATTTAAAAAAATTAATTCCTTAAACATTTTCCCCCTAAATAAAAATATCAATAAATTAAACTTAAATTATTCACTTTTTACTATTGATATATTACTGTATGTAAAAATTTTATATTAAATCCATAATTAAATTTTACACTCTCTTAACAATATTAGCTTTCAATCATTCCAAAATTAAATTATTAGTTCTTCATGTCAAGATTCAACTTTGTAGATATCAAAGTTAGGACCATTTTAGAGATTTTAATGGTCTTAGGACAAACATAAAATTAGATACCCAAAAAAATATTATAAATAAAATTGAATTATAGAATAAAAATAAAATAATTTACTTATAAATGAACTTTTACTATATTTAAAAAATATACAATAACTTCAAAATTCGAATAGAAAATATCAAAAAATTTATTGAACACTCAACTACTCACACAAAATAAGCATGATCCTATTTTAAGAGGTTATGGTTTGATTTCAATCACCTCAAATTTGTAAAAAGTAATAAAAAATTTTTGTTTAAATTGAATAAATAATTTAACAATACTACGTTAGTATTGTCGTTATTTTTTTAAGACATGTAATCAAAACATAAACAAAACCTAACATTATGTATAATTTTAAAAAATAATAATTCTATAAGTAAAACATAAATAAAGTAATGAATGAGTGTCTAAATAATCAATTTGCCATTTTAATTATATATGAACCTTCAAATTTTTGGACCTGTGTAAATGCTCTCCGATTCAAGTTGTTACTATTAATATATAATGTGATTTTAATAGTTAAAAAAGATTATTTTACTTTTTAGAGATAGTAAATTCAAATAATTATATTTATAGAACATATATATATATTATTAATAATTAAAATAAATCTAAATAAATAATATTTTATAATTGTCCCAAAATATTAAAAAAAGTTGTTACCGTTGATACATAATATGTCATGATCATTTAATAATAATTGTAATAGTACGTCGCAAACGACAAACTCAAAACACGTTCGATACGTCAAAAGGGTATTAAAGTAGTTTGATATGTGGACGCTGATAATCTTGAATAATGAAGAGATAATTAAAAGATTCTAGCGCCACTGACAAAGTGAACACTGAACTCATTGGCACTTATTTTGCCTACAAGTAGAAGCCAAACTCTTTCTCAAATTCAGAACAATCAAAGAATCGAAGGAGAAAAAGAAGAAGAAACAAGACCCAAAAATGTCGGGAATCATGCACAAGATCGGTGAAGCCCTTCACGTGGGAGGTGATCACAAGAAAGAGGAGGAGAAGCACAAGGGCGAGCACAAGGGCGAGCACAAGGGAGAGGCCGATCACGGCCACGACATGGGCGAGCACAAGGAAGGCATTGTTGATAAGATTAAGGACAAGATCCATGGCGATGGAAGTAAGGAACACGGTCACGATGGCGAGAAGAAGAAGAAGAAGGAGAAGGAGAAGAAGAAGCATGAAGATGGCCATGAAAGCAGCAGCAGCAGTGATAGTGATTAGATCTCCCACCATTATCGTCTCGGTATTCCCCTCCCTTATTTTTCCCTTTGAAAACGGATATATTTGATGTGTTGAAATCTTAATGGCCTTTGTATAAAATTAAATTTTAAATTACATGGTTGGATTTATTAAATTATGAGATTTTAATCATTTTATTTCAGTCAATTTATGTGGTACATTTTTAAGATCTAAAAAACCGATATAAATTTATTTATTGTGTGTTGCAGTTGCATGGGATGAAAGTGAAGGCTTGTCAAGATATTTGTATTTGCTATGCATTTGACTTTGTGAGGAAAAAAAAAGGAGAAAAATAAGTCTTATTTTATGCTTTATATTAAATTGGTATTGTGTGATGTATTTTGGCAGCCTGTGAATGAAATATGATATGAGAATGAAGTCCCTTTCTCTAAAGCTCCAAAAATTGTAAGCATGGTTTGGGCTTCACATGACGGCCCCGTTCATTTCTCATTTGACTTTCTATTATTGTCCATTTCCAGAAGGAGTTGGCCCAGCAACCTACTAAGGGAGTGAAGATGTGGTCCGACTCTAAGCCCAAAGCGTAATATGATATATGAACTTTTTTAGCTTATTAATAACGTATCATTCGAATTCAATTTTTTTAAAAAAATATTTTTTATCATTGAGGTTATTAAAGAGGTTAAAGTATAATTATAATTATAATTATAATAAGTACAATGATAAGATAATTAAAATTAAAATAATTTTTTAAAGCATGCTCAAATTGATAATCAATTTGTTGGGTGCAAAAATTATAATTTTGCTATAGAGATTGGAATAAAAGTAAAATTTTAAGGGGACCAGATGAACAATCTCTCTTTTTAAAAAGGATCTAAATAATAATAGACTCCAAATACATTTACTTAACAATTTTTAATATGAATGATTAACAATGACTTATTCGTATATGATAATTGTCAAATTTTATTTCATGAACCATTTTACCTAAAAAGTAACGTAATATACATTTGTATATATGAGATATTTAACGTATTGTTAAGGACATTTTGGAAGATCTATGAAATTAAGCAATGATGCTCAATAGTTCATTTTAATAGCTATATACGTGTTCCCCAGGAGAATATTATATATATACATATATATATATATTTGTAGTTTGTACTCTTATCAGCCTCGTAACGATTCCCTCTTTGTGATTTAATTGGAATTGATGCTCGCACACAATTTTGATTATAAAAGTAATTGAACGTTCATTATTAAATAAGTAAAAGTATTTAAAATAAATATTATTGTAATTACTTTTAGTTTACTTAAAAAATAATTTAACATTTAGCCCTTTGTTTTTATTCAAGATTAAAGGCATGATTAATAAAATTTTCAAATTTTTATTTAGAGAATATATATATTAAAAACTCCTCACATTCATTTCCTCTCGTTTACCCTAATTTGAGATAATTGAGAAATTAGAAAGAAATAAAGGGGATTAAGAACCTTTCCTTTATTTTATTTTTTTTGTAATTAATTTAAACCAAAATAAAAAAAAAAATTCAGGGATCTACACACGTAAGAATTCTATTGCCTATAAACATCGTGTAATCAAAATTAAATTTTTATTAATAGTATGAGGTTATTTGGGGAAATATTAGTTCAAAAAAACTTTTAGTCTATTAACAATGTGCACACATCTACAAACACAGTCGATTAAATTCAAATTTTGGAGAGAATAACATTGCTTTACACTGGAGTAACTCAATAAATTTAAAGTTAAATTTTGTAATTAATATATGTATTGTACGTAATTTAAGAATTTAGTGCCTATATTATATTTTGGAAATTTATATTCTTTATATATCTATATACTTAAAATTTTAATTTAAACTCAAATTGTATATGAAAATATGTACATTTTAATGGTTTATAATAGTAGAATAAAGAATTCAACAAAATCTATAATCTATAATTTATATATAATATATAAATATTAATAAAATTTGATTTAACAAAATTAATGAATATTATTTATGTCGATACCAAACTTTTAAAATTAAAATTATTTGAAAAATATATAAAAAATATATATGGATAAGGGACGGATACAGTTTAGGTACATACCGAGGAAGTCTCATGTTTAAGGGGTACAACTAAAATTAATTGTACACATAAGAGACTTTTGAGGACGTATCAAAGATTATATTTATGCGCGTACCAAGAGTTATTTTTAATATTTAAATAATAAAAAAAAAAAATATAGATGAATTAAAATATGATTTTATTTTTAAATTATGAAGTATTCTTCGTATCCGAAAATCTAATATACTAAATTTAGTGCCAAAACTCCATTGCTCTAATTTTGTTTTTAAAGTGCGTGTACAACCTATTTCGTCGTCGTGCATAGAAAGAAATTATAACACTTATTTCTTTATCCACTCATTTAGAAAAAATAAATTAAATTCAATTCATACTAAATATTTGGTTTACATCCACTATAATCTTCATCTCTTATGAAAGAATTCTAATCACCATAAATTTTTAATGAATATTTTTAATTTTTTATATATTTCAAAATTTATTTTATAACCATCATATACCTATCGCACATGCACTAAAATTTTAAAAAAGTGTCGTTTCTCGTCCGTATCCGTCTTAGTACCGTCACGGTAACATAGGATACACCCCCATAAAATATAGGGGAAGTAAAAGTGATACGCAGAAACGACAGTGAAATTTAACATTCTCCAACTGTGACTTGGGAGTTATACAACCAGAAGTGCCGAACAGAACCAAGTCTTCCATTGTTTTTAACACCCACCATTTGTCATTCTCTTATTAAAGCCGGCCATTCACGACCTTCCCTTTAAGTTCTTCGTTTCCTTTCTTAATGCTTCTTTCAGAGTTTTTCTCCATCCTCCTTCAAAACCCACCAACAAAACATCTTAACTTTTAATTTTAAGCATACAAGAAAGATCAAACAACCAAAATTGTTCATAAAAAAACATGGACAGGCTCATTAGTTTGGAACCTTCAAACCTTGTTGCAGTTCGTATTGAGCAAGGCCAGAAATGTTACGGCGAGCTTACTTTACGCAACGTTATGTACACCATGCCGGTGGCTTTCCGGTTACAGCCGGTGAACAAGGCCCGGTATACCGTCAAGCCTCAGTCGGGAATCATAGCGCCTCTTGGGACGTTAACACTGGAAATTGTTTATCACGTTCCTCCAGGTTCGTTTCTCCCGGATTCCTTCCCTTTCACCGACGATTCGTTCCTCCTCCACAGCGTGGTGGTTCCCGGTGCGGCGATCAAAGACTCTACGTCGGGTTCCGATACGGTTCCGAATGACTGGTTTACCACGAGGAAGAAGCAGGTGTTCATCGACAGTGGTATTAAGATCATGTTAGTTGGGTCCCCGGTTTTGGTTCAACTTGTGATGGATGGTTCCATGGATGAGCTTCGTGAGGTTTTTGAACGTAGCGACCCAACATGGAAGCCAGCTGATTCAGTTGACTCCCATGGTCAAAGCTTGCTTCATATTGCCATTGCTCAGAGTAGACCAGATATTGTTCAATTATTACTTGAGTTCGAGCCCGATATCGAGTTTCAAAGCCGGTCTGGTTCGACCCCACTTGAGGCTGCTTCGGGTTGCGGTGAAGAACTAATTGTTGAGCTTCTTTTGGCTCATAAGGCTAACCCGGACCGATCCGAGTCGTCGAGTCGGGGTCCGATTCATTTAGCCACCACTGGTGGATACTTTGAGGTTCTGAGGCTTCTTTTGCTCAAGGGGGCTAACGTTGATGCCCTCACAAAAGATGGTAACACCGCGTTGCACCTCGCGCTCAATAATAGAAGAAGAGATTGCACTCGTTTGCTATTGGCTAATGGTGCTGACACTGGTATTCGGAACACCCGAGACGGCGATACGGCGTTACACATCGCGGCCAGATTGGGGGACGAGCAGATGGTGAAGTTGTTACTTCAAAAGGGAGTGAACAAAGACATCCGGAACAAGACAGGGAAAACTGCGTACGATGTTGCTGCGGCACATGGTCACGTGAGACTGTTCGATGCACTTAAACTTGGTGACAACTTTTGTTTAGCTGCTCGAAAAGGTGAAGTGAGGGCCATCCAGAGGCTGATCGAGAACGGGGGCGGCGATTGACGGGAGAGATCAACATGGATGGACTGCGTTACATCGAGCATCGTTCAAAGGACGAACAGACGCCGTAAAGATACTAATCGAGAAAGGGATCGATATCGATTCGAGAGACGAAGATGGATACACGGCTTTGCATTGTGCGGTGGAATCAGGCCATGCTGAAGTGGTTGAATTGTTGGTAAAGAAAGGCGCGGATGTGGAATCAAGGACCAACAAAGGTGTTAAACCCCTGCAAATTGCGGATTCGTTACATTATGCAGGCATCAGCAGGATACTGATCCATGGCGGTGCAACGACAACCAGCAGCAAGCCACGAGTCGCCTCTATGCAGGTTTCGGCTCTGTTTGAAAATAGGAAAATCAGGAAAGAGATCGACAGTAAGTTGGCGCCGATGAAGCGGAGGCTATCAAAGGCGAGAGCCGTTCGCGGTAGCTTCGATAGATCATTGCCATTGGCAGTCATATAGGTAGTAGGGAGCTTAAATTGATTCATTTTGATGAAGAATTAAGTTTCAGAACTCATTACTCAGAAATATTCATTCCATAACCTGAATTTATACATAAAATCAATTTGAGTTTCCAAATGGAAATCGAGTGAAATTGTTGAGAATTTGCTTGTAAAATGCTCAGCAGTGGCATCTGAAATCTGTGTGCTGATCGAAAAAGGATTTCCTGATGTAAATTCAAGCAATAAAGTTGTATTTTTTTAAAGACCACAAAGGATTAAGGAATCAATGAAAGATTTATCTTTTATAAATCTCTCGCCAATGTGCACAAATATTGAAATTCTACGGGATATCTATTAGCTAATAGTATAATTATATATTTAAAAATATTTACTCAAAATCATATTATAATTATGATCGTATTTATATTCATGTATTTAAATTGTATTCATATTTTGTTGTATATAATATTCTATTTTAATTTTTGAAATTTCATATTCATCTTATGTAATTGTGTGATGCATAAATATTTATATATTTCTAGTGTTGACTGTGTTGTATTTAACAAACTTTCTTCAACTTATGTGATTGTTGATGCTCTTAGCTATAATCGCTAAAAATAACAAAAGGTACTGACAATTGGGTTAGTAAGATAGATTCGAAAACTTTCAACATCGACAATTTTTTTTCCAAATAAAATAATAATAGATTAATATAAAACATCTCGAAATTTATATAAAAATATACTATCATAATATAATGTACAAAATACAAATATAATAATTATTATGAAGTAACAGAACTATTGAT